TCATCAGCGAGCTTACAGGCTATCTTCGAGTATGATTCTTCCTCAGACAGAGGTTGGTCATAGCTATCCTTAAAGCGAATTATCAGAGCTTCAATGGCAGTCTATCTTCACAGACCTACGTTAGACTTTCTTCCTTCCTTATTCCTCTCATTTTACGCTATATTTCATCTTTATTTTTTTTAATTTCGGATTTGTTTTTGTACAATTGTTTTATAAACAATTGTTTATTTTTGTTATAAACAATTGTTTATTTTTTTTTAAACATAAAAATTGTATATTTTAAATATTTTATAAATATTGAAGTATAGATGAGGAAATAAAGTTATGATATATTTTAAAAAATATTTATGCAAATGATTTTTACATAAAATAAATATTTTTTTTTAAAATTATTTTAATACGAATCCAATAAATAAAGATATTCAGGATAAGAATTTATAGAATTTTAGTTACATAATTTTTAAATGGCCACAAAAAATATAAACTTAATTTTTATGCTGGTAATTTTGTTTTAAAAAAATAAATTTTTAATCCTTCTAAATATTCCAAAGGAATTAATTTTGTTTGACTTTTATCCAAAAATTATTTTTCTTAATTTAATTTTTGAAAAAAAAATTAATAATTAAAAACGAATAATTTAGTTATATTTTAAAGCCAATTTAAATATGAAAAACATTGTGATTGATTCAGTCAGATTAAGATTTTAATAAAATCAATAGAATTTAAAATTAAATATTAAAATTGGATAAACTACCCGCCAAAAATATTATAGTAATGTAAAATAAAAAACCAATGTCCCTTAAAAAAAGGAAAATTGATATCGTTTTAGCATCTTAAAGTAAGCCACATTATCGATAATCAGAATTTGAAAAATTTCCTGAGCAAAAATCTTTGAAGTTTTTTTTTTTTGAAGAAGAAGAGAAATTTTTGATCAAATTTTACTTAAAAAATGACAAAATCTTTTGTAGTTTTCAAGCATTAAAAAATTTTTCAAGATCAAATATTTTTACTAAATGTTTTTTTCATACTATGGCAAAAATGATTCAATTTTAATAAAAATTAAAATTCACTGATAAACTTTATTCTTGTTATCATAATATTTTGTTTTATTATTTTCTTACCTATTATTATAACAATCTCATAAAATGGCCAGTTAAATTTTTTTTTTAATCCTTATGCAGACAGAGTTTAACGTTTACTCAAAAGGAAAAAAAAAACTTAGAAGATTTTGAATCTCGGAAGATTGTTTTTAAACGAATAGAATTCTCAGAGTAGTGTTGTTCAAAAGCTCGATTTGAGCCGATTTTTAAATACGTTGAACTCGATATTTTAGCCAGAGAAATATTGCTTTAGCCTCGAAATTTCGCTTATATGGAAACCTACGTGCTATCCTTTAAGTAAAATCTTCCTGTTTGCGTAATATGTTTCCGGATAAACTATTGAGTTTGCCGTTTTTAAAAAATTGACTTAAATCGGGTTATTGATCAAATTTTATAAAATTCCAGTTAAAATAAAATATCAAGAGTAATAGGTTCACCCAGACACTAGAGCTTTAAAAGAAATTTTATCACTTAAAATCCTTTAGGTACAACATGTTGATTTATATTAGTAACTTGATAAATGTTTATATTTTTAGAGAATATCAAGTTGTAATATAGAAATATAAAATTTACGTCTGTTATTTATCCCACGTCTCTCATTATTTTTTTCAATGAATGCTATCAGGACTTAGAAAGCCATAATCTCAAAATTTTAAGGATTAAACACAACTAGATTTGTAGGCCTCAACTAATGTGTTTTGCCCAAAGATTTCTTCCTCTCATGAGCGATTTCCTATAAACCTTGGGCCAAAAAATTTGTTAAAGTTTTAGTTCTTTACTCTCCAATCATACAATAATTTTATATATTATTTAATGGTAATTTTTTAAAAAACAAATATTATTATTATAAATTAAATTAAATTTTGATATATTTCATAACAAGAAATACTAAAACTAGTTAAAAAATATTTTTTACTCATATTTATTAAATAATATTTATATTAGGTCAGTGCTAGTGTTGTTAAACGGTTCGATTTTTACAAACGGCTAATCCAATATTAGTTAAAAAATATTACGCTAACCTCGAGATTTCGTTTAGATTGTCCAAACCTTTCTGCCCATCTATGACCAAAATCTCTCAGGATTGCGTGATATTTTATAGCTAAATTATTGAGTAAGCCGTTTTAAAATGATAGAGCCGCTTAACAACACTACTACGTCTATCTATGTATTAAAAGTTGAAACTAGAGTTTCTAAAATAGATATTATAAAAAAATAAAATAAATAGTTAATTAAACAATTTGGAAAGGGTATCTAATAGTGATCTGCATCGGGTCTAATTTTCCAGGCCCGGCCTGAACTTTTTTTAAAGATTTGCCTGCCGGCCCGAACCCAAAATTTTTTTAAAAGATTTGCGGCCGGCCCGAACTCGAAATTTTTTAATTCGAAATTATTTAAATATAGAAATTATTTTTTATAATTACTCAAAATAAAGGACATAATGTTATATGGCGTTTAGTTTCAATAAATAAAATCAAAAATATTTATTTTACGTAAAAAATTTAATATAAAATTGATAAATTTAGATATATTTAAAAAAAATTTCAAGGTCCAACCCGACCCGGCCCGAACCCGATTATTTTAAATAGAATTAGGCTGAGGGGCTTAACTTTGCAGATCTCTAGTATCTAATATAAAACTTGATTAATTTTCAGATTTAATATTAGACTTACATCCATTCTCAGTTCTCCTACCTAACATAACATAATATAATAAGTATTATATCTTCTATCAGTGCGATAAAATGTAATATAGTATAATTAAAAATAAAAAAATGACGGACTCTTAAAATTGCGCAAATCTCAACAACTATAAATAAAAATTAAAATAAATCTTTGGGGTTTAAAACAGGTGCTCAACTAAAAAAGAGAATAAAAATAATTTATAATTACATTTGAAAGTATAACGCCACGCCGTCAGACATATACTGGTTTTAGTATTTTATCAAATATCAAGAAAATGAGAATATATATATGAATGAAGTGTTTCATCGTTAAAAATTGCGCATATTCATATCAAAATCATATGGTAAATAAATATATAAATAAATAAATTTGATCAACGGAAATAAAAAGATATAAATAATTAATTTTGCCAAAGATTCAATATTTATTTTAAATTTTACCCTTATATTTTAATTTTACAAAAAAACTTTAAGAAAACATTTAACTTGTATTGAAACAAAACGGAGTTAAAAAATTACAAAATACAATTCGACCTATAAATAAAAAAAAAAGCGAATGGCTAAATTATCTGAAATTAATAGCGTAGGTATATACTGTTCACTAGGAGATATCCAAAAGAAGGTCCGGCTCGAACCCAGCTTAAACCAATCCAATTTTTTAGAAGTCGGTTCGGGCCGGGTCGGGCATAAAGCTAATTTTAATAAATTTCGGTCGGGCTTTCTGAATTTTTTTTTTTTAAATTTCCGGCTGGACTCTAAAAAAATAGACCCGGTGCAGATCACTATAGTACACACATGATGGAATATACATTTATGAAAAAATGCCAATTTATTTCTTATCAAATTTAAAAACCGCCTTCCTAATGGATTTAAAATGGAGCGATTATTAATCCTCACGTGAGGACCCGGATAAGTCGTTATTTCAGAATAACTTATGACGATATTATATATATATACACTGTACAAGGTCAGGAGGGGTTTAGAAAATCTGGCGTATACCTAAAAATTTATATGGTCTGAAATTCACAGGGTAGGTATGATCTATATAAAATAGAGATACGATTTGGGCGAAATCTATTTTTTTTAAAAATCAATATTTAGAAAAACGCGCTTGCGAAAAACCCAATAGTGTTGTTAAATAATTCAATATTTTTATCCAAAAAATATTAGGTAAGCTTGGCGATTTGTTCATATATAGCAGAAAGGTTTGGGCATCTATTAACGAAATCTCGAGACTTGCGTAATACTATTTTGGCTAGGATCTTAATTTAAAATCGAATAAATCGAGTTCTATAGAAACCCTTAAAACTAGGATCTACGAAGCATATAAGCCTTGTTTATGCGTTGTAAAGAGTTCTATTACTATCTTACATCGCGTAAAACTTTACCAGAAAAAACGAAGTGAAAATTGGAATCGTTTAAGATTTCGTGTTGTTTTTAAGTTTCCAATCCAACAACTCAACATATAGAAGATATAGATAAGAGTGGTAAAAATGATAGGCATTTGTAATTTTACATTTATTTAGGCAACATTTCTTTCATCCATTTTTTATAATAGAAAAAAAATAATGAGTTTGTGTGTTTTATTGGATATTATTACTCAGTGCAATTTTTTGTAATATGATTTGTTTTTTTAAAATATATTTTATAATTTTTAATAAAGAAAAATTCATTTATTTATTTTTAATATTGCGTATCGGGGGGGAATGGAATGGGAAGCAACATATGTAAGAAGAATGGTGCAGTGGAAAGGAAGATTTTTTTCTCACTTTTCTTTTAATATTTTGTTGTTTTTTATATATATATATTCCCATTAAAAATAAGAAAACAGAAATAATTTGGCAATATATAAAAAAAAATATCAAAATTTAAATGATTTCTTGTTGATAAATCTAAAAGTTATTACTGTATGCAGTATAATTAACCAACAGAATCTTCTGTTTTTTATTATCATTACGCCCCTTTTCATATTACCCCTCCTTTTTTAAAACATTCTTATTCTTTGTTTATTTATTTTATTTATTGCACAACTATTGATTAAAATTTGATGGAATATATTAAAACATTTCATTAGAGTTTTTTTTTGATCTAAAATAAATATTAAAATTAAATTAAAATTTTAAAAAATTTATTTTTTTAAATAAAACAAAACCCAAATTTTGAATGTTTATCATCAACTGGTAGTATAGAAATTTTTTTTAAAAAAATAAAAATAGTCACAAGGTAATACCAATCAAATTTTTTGGCTTCGATATGGGTGCCAAGACGTCAAAATCTATCAAATCACAGGAGAATTCTGGACAAAGGTTAAGATTTTTTATGTATAAATAATATATTATTCAAATTAACCATTCCTATTTTTTGCTATCGCTCGTTACCAATCAATAAATTCCATATTTTTTGTACCAATTAGGTATTTTGCCATAGAAATATTTCGGGAAAATTCTTAGAGTTGTGGTTAGTGTTGTTAAAAGGCTCAATTTGAACCGATTTTTAAAAACGGCTAACTCAATATTTTATCCAGAAAATTTTTTTTTATGCAATCCTAAAGATATTGCTCATAGATGGCACATAAGAATCAACATCTATTGGCGAAATCTCGACGCTTAGGCAATATTTTCCAGGCTATAATGTTGAGTTAGCTGTTTTTAAAAAAAATCGGCTTAAATCGAGCATTTAACAACACTAGGTGTGGTAAATTAAATCGGAGGTCACATAACAGTTTTATTTTTATTATTAATTAAATTATCGGACAAAAATCATTTTTTTTAAAAAACTAATGGGCGGTCATAAAACAATTTTTACAAAATCATGTAGTTTAACAATTATTATTCTGAATTTTAGGTGATTTTCTTTTTTTATTAAAAAAAAATTTAATAGAAATTATCCAAATTTATGTTTCATAATAAGCATTTTAATATTTAAATTTATTTATATAATAAGATTTTAATTCCACTTTTTTTATGTCAATAAGGGATAATGAATTGGCAAAAATGTCGCGCAATATCTTGACATATTCGATTATATGTAATCCCTTTTCCTTTACTCCTAAAATTTGCTGTTGTCGCTTTGTATTACCTTTAAAGAAATCCCCGCTAATGTGGTCCGAGCCCCCCTCCACCCCCCAACCCGGTCCCGACCTAAAATATTTATAAATTTTTAAACTCGAGGCCGGCCCAAAATTATTATTTATTTTTTAGGCCCGAACCCGGCCCGGTCCAAAATTTTTAAATATATTATATTTAAAAAATAGGGCCGGGCCGGAAAATATAAAACCCGAGCCAGAGGCTAGCCAAAATTTTTTTTAAAAAAAATTCGGGTCTGCTTGGCCATTCGAATGGTACCTCTGCAGATCTCTGCTTTAAATAATTAGTAATTATTTCTTTGTCTCCCTCTCCCCAACTTCATTTTTTTTAATAAAACTTTTTTTTTATAGCCCATCCCATGCAAATAATATTTTATTTGTTAGTTTTAACACTGGAAATGGCATCCGGGATAGTAGCTGGAAAGAACTCTATTATTATTTAATTAATTGAAGGGGAACTATGATTTTATATTAGGAAAAGGAATCTCCCAGAAGATTTTTATTTTCGTCTACAATAGGAACCTGTGTCTATCAATTTATATTATTATATTTGCTAATTATCTGTAAATTAATTCAAAAATTAATTTAAAATATTTACAATAATTAAAATTTCGCCATACCCACTAAATCATTTAACATCGAGACACTATAAATTTTTTAGAATTTTCTCGAATTATAAAAGAGGGTTCTAAATTTGCTATGAAAGTTAAATTATATATTTTTTTAAAATTTAAAATAAATCGTCGGCCTAGAATTGGAGTGTTCCACTAGGTATTTTCAAAATTTTTGAGTTAGAAGTGGATAATAACTTATTTATTCCCAATATATATAAAAATAAAAACTAGATTAAAAAATATTAAATTTTGCCAAAGTTATATATAGCTATGTCAAAATTGATCAATAATGTTTTCCTATATTTGATTTTAAACTTTAATGTTGATTTTCTCATTTTAAACATTTGCCCAAGTGGAGCACTCCAATACTAGGCCGACGAAATTATAATCTTGTTTTGCAATATTTTTCAAATTTGATATAAAATTTTTTTTTTAACCAAAATCTGTATATTAGGAAAATTTTTTTAATAATTCTAAATGTCTTAAATTTAAAAATGAAATTGAAGAGTTTACCTCGCCTTACGGTTTAATTAGCTCATCCTTTACTATTTTGCCAAGATATAACAAACCCCCGGACTTAAATTTACATCTTCATCAAATGTTAAAGATGTAAGGAGCTTAAAAAAATGCAGCAAAATTATCTGAAATTTCCACTAAGAAGCCAATATTTTGTAGAAAATATGGTTCAAATTACTAAAGATAATATAAGATTATTAAAATCACGCAACCGGGAAATTTTATATACTTTAATTACCTATTGCGACATGTATATTTATATGTAAGAAGTTTTAGCACGCTGAAAAGCGTAAAAAAAACTGCCATTGGTCAATATTGTGTGGATAAGTCTAGATTCATCACGCGTGTTAAAATGCTGTCGCACAAAAATAAAATTTTGTTTAGAAATCATTTCAATATTTTCGATCAAAAGTTCAAGAGATTGCAACTATAGTATTCAAATCAAAATTTTTAAATTTAACATTGTTAACCTTATTTTTTTTAGTATGAGATAATGATTCATAATTTAAAAAATTTTCCATATTTTTAAACATAAATTTAAATTATAATATTTATTTTTAAAACCTAATAAATTGTGTGAAATTTTATGCCCCTGCATACCACATTTGTAAAAATATTTTTGATGCCATCCCCTAGACTTATTAAAATTATCTAATTTATATCTTTATAAATTTCAGAGACTTGCAGAGGTACTATTTGCACGCCTGGATTTTTTGAAAAATTTTTCTACCCGGCCCGGATTTAAAAAAAAATTTTTTTTTGAATGTATATTAAATTATTAAAAAAAATGTTTTATAGATAATAATGTAGCAGGTCTATAAATTTCATACAATAATATAACGGTTTTAAAAAAAAATTCCCTTACTTTTTTTTTATTGCAGTCTTTCTTCACAATTTTCTCTAAATTTCGAGCATTACTTCATTTCGGATTCGATAGATAAGATCAAAAGCCCAGAAAATCTTTTAATGTTTAACTTTGGAAAATACTTTTTAGAGTGCCCCAGTACTAAAATTGTTAGTCAATATTGTAAAACCATTATCTGTTTTAAAGAAAATTTGTATCTTTTTGATAGTATTAATTTATATTTTTAGCACAGTTTGAGTAAGGTTTTGATTCAGTAAGTCCCAAAGCAGTTTAGGCCTTTAAAAATGTCTAATCATTACTATATTTCAGTGTTATAGGGCAGACTGGGCGGTAATAATATTACCATATTTGATAATTCTAAATAACGAGGTTATTATTATTTTCAGTAATATTACATCCAAGATCTTTAATGCTAGCAGGGTTTGAACGAAGCCCTGGAATAAAATGGACCTCGGCTCTTAGTACTAGATATGACACATAATTCTTTATATTTAGTTTCTATGCCGATTCCAAATTTTGGTTGTTATTGAAGATCATGACCGAGTATTCGGTTCGTTGTGCCACAATAAAAAAATACCTAAATTAGTGACCAATGTTGGGGGAGAAAAGATTGATCTAGATCCTGGCCTTTTTGCTGTCCAATCTTTCTTTCAAGTGTATATAAATTTGTTAGCGAAGATGCTTTTAATTTTAAGAGTTTTACCTAATATATTTCCGGTTATTTAATTATAAAATAAATATTTATGCCAAAAATATAAATTATTTTAAAATATACGCATTTCTGACTGAATCTGATTCGAAACCACGAACACTGAGACCCGGTTTTGATCGGATAATGTCGATCTCTACTTGTTTTCCCCACAATGTATTATTTTGCGCTGCAGGAGGGATTAAATTGCACACGAAATAAAAATTTAATCTGAATTCTTAATAAGTTTTATTTTTAACCTTTTAACCTAATGAAAAATAGGGAGTAGGTTAAAATATTTGACGAATATTGACAAATAGGCAATATCAATCAAAAAATAGTCAAATTATTTTTTTGTAAAATTTGGGTTATAAAAAAAAACTCAATAGCTTATGGTATATTTTAAAAAAAAATTCTTTTAAAAATTTTTGCAAACTATATCTTTAATTATTTATTCAATGATTTTACGGCCGTCGCGTGGGTTTCAAGCGATTCTTGAACAGTTTAATACGTAAGTTTATAAAAAAAAGTATATATAATTTCTATTAAACAGCTCCGATTAAAATTTAACCAAAATAGCATTATGTAAGCCTCGAGGTTTGTCAAATATCCAAGCCTTTCTGCCATCTAAAGCTCCAGGCTTACATTATATTATTTTGGCTAAAATTTTAAACGGACCGTTTTTTAAAATCGATACAAATCTTAGCCGTTTAACAACATTACTATAACTCCTTATGGGATAGAAATATTTTTTTTTATAAGGGATGGTTATCTAAGCTGCGATGCAATGAATATCGCTAATCATTATCACGGCTGATTGCTTCTATTTTGTATTTTACTAATCGCGATGGAGAGTGATGTAATCTTTTTGCAGTTATAACTATCAACGAGTTCTTACAGCTAGTTCATCAACAACTGGGACCAGACCTAATAAGTTATTGAGAATAGATATAATTATTTAAGTTAAATTTCACATTTTCTCGATGGATATTGCGCTTTGTTTAGTTTTTTTTTGGTAAAATTTAAATATTTATTTTAAAAAAATTTATGAGCTTTTCCATATGGTTTTAAAATTTTAACCATAAACAAATTTCATTATTTTTTTAAAAAATTTTCTTATTTTTAATTTTTAATTATTTTTTTTAGCTAAAATAAAAATTTATCGCAATAGATTGAAACCATGTTATATTCATTTTGACCCTTCTTTCTTTTAAAAAAAAGATAGATAAATATTTAATTTGACAATTTCCCTATCATTCTTCAAACATCCCTTTTGGGGTTGGCAAGAAATTCTTTTTTGACAAATAGTAAGATTTTCGAAATTCTTCTAATCCTTATATTTGTTTTATTAAACTCTGTATAAATAACTGCTAATCTTTATATATTTTATTTTACCCTCTCCTTACAAATTTTTGGAACAAGATAAAGATAAATTTATTTAAACTAAATTTATATATATATTTATAATTTGACTCCAAAGACATCTTTATATAAAGAATATTAGCAATTTTTCTTGATTATATTCATAGAGGAAGTGT